TCGTAAAAAATATCAAGTTTCAATTCAATTTCAAAGTACAACACCAAAAATATCCCAACTAAAAAAAAAGAAGAAACGCAATATACTCGAGTTATAATACTCGTGAAAAGTGATACCTTGTTATGATATTGCACTAATTAATTTACTATTCCCGAAGAAAGAAAAAAAAGCACGACGAAGATTCGTAAAAAATATCAAGTTTCAATTCAATTTCAAAGTACAACACCAAAAATATCCCAACTAAAAAAAAAGAAGAAACGCAATATACTCGAGTTATAATACTCGTGAAAAGTGATACTTTGTTGTGATATTGCATTAATTAATTTACTATTCCCGAAGAAAGAAAAAAAAGCACGACGAAGACTCGTAAAAAATATCAAGTTTCAATTCAATTTCAAACTACAACATCAAAAATATCCCAACTAAAAAAAAAAAAGAAACGCAACATACTCGAGTTATACTCGTGAAAAGTGATACTTTGTTGTGATATTGCATTAATTAATTTACTATCCCCGAAGAAAGAAAAAAAAGCACGACGAAGACTCGTAAAAAATTCAATTTCAAACTACAACACCAAAAATATCCCAACTAAAAAAAAAAAACAGAAACGCAACATACTCGAGTTATACTCGTGAAAAGTGATACCTTGTTGTGATATTGCATTAATTGAATGATAACGCGAATGTCATCCGAGTAATTCTTGATGGAGATGACACGCATGATGTTCGCCGCGTCTTCCGCATCTGGATCTTGACAGTACTTGTTCGCCAGTACCAAACACGCGTCTGCCTCGTGGACCTAAAAACGATCGAGTCATTTTGTTCCACTGCGTGTATCACTCCGAATTGAAAACGAGTGTACGTAGTTTCTTGGAGGATTGGGGGGACGCCCGGTCAGAAAGCAATCGCAAAATGGAAACTGCTTTTTCGACAAATTCGACAATCAAGGAACACCGCGGTGGGGGAAAAAAAAAAAAGGAAAAATCGTAGTGCAAAATTGAATTCTCGTTTCAAATCGGTCAAATAAAAATTTGATAGATTTTCATCCCGAGTCTGAGGAAATAATTGATTATTTAAAATCGGCAATTAATTACAATAATAAATAGGAAAGCAAAAGTCCGCCATGTACGAGGTACAGTGTGATTTTTTTCATTTCAATCAAGTGAAGTGTGTCGGGGTAAAAGTCGGGGATGGAGGACGAAAAGAACATGGAACAGCTAATTTCTGATTACATTCGGTAATGCAGGAGTAAATGCAGCTACGCTTTGAAAAATTCTCTCTTGCAAGCACTAGTTAAACACTAATTGCTAATATGCGTCGCGGATACATGCATGTTTCTTCATTTTTTTTCTTTTTCTTCAACGAGAATTTTTGCCTTTTTCAGGCTGCAAATTTTTACGACTCTGCGAAGGAAATTTTCGTTTTAAATATCGACATAAATATTCTCGTTATACCGCGTATAACGTGAGATATAATTACACGTATCTTCGACGCAACAACAAAGTAGGAAAAGCAAACTGTTACGATCACGCATTCCTTAAACACGCGTGAATCAAATACGACGATTCATGATATATCAAAATGTACATCTGCCAACATGCTCATCTACCAATCGGGCTTAAATTTATAATCGTTGTAAAAGAAATATTGTACAAATAGCCAAGCTGCTACTATTCTGTCATTTCTCTCCTTTTTTTTTTTCTTCTTTTTTTCTTTTGCTCCTTCTCTTAATGCAGAATCTAATGTACGAGTATATGCTTAATAGAGAATCATGACTCGCTGGTTACAATGTAAAAACTAGGTCCTCTAACGAAACAAATAAACTCTTAGAAAGTATAATTAATTTGCTTAAACTCCATTCACAAGCACTTACCCACCTGGATCGACAGTAGACACGACACGGTTGTTATCCAGTAGGTAGTGAACAACACCTTCGAGAGACTTTTTCCTTTTTCTTTTTTTTTCTCTTTCTTTTCTTTTTTTCACGCAATTTTCCGCAGACGACAGAACGTATGCATGTTAACGCGCGCTTTTATTGGAGACATTGAGAATATTTCCTTTACTCGAGTGAGAAGCATTCTCTTTTTTTTTTTCTTCTCGATGGAGGTTACGGGTCCGGTGGCGAAATTTTCTCGAAGGAGTCGCGAGTCAGTAAATTCGCAGATGAGATAAGAAGGAACGATTCGTGTTAAATTATCATTCGTCGGTGAGTGAGTGAGTCGTTCTGCTTGTTCGATTGTACGAGCTATTTGTTATTTACATATTGACGAAACACGAAAGCAAACGACAGCATAGAAAGCGCGTCAAAAAAGGGGATATTCACGGAACATCGTCAATGTGCACAGAAGGGAACACACAGGCAACAACCATTTTGGAACAACAACATTTGTCCTTTCGCACAATGTCAAGTTTTCGAACGACTACTGACTGCTCGCGGCAGCAACCATGACGACAATCCTCGTACTTTTGACTGGTAATAATAATATGATTTCATTTTATAATGTACAAATATTCATTTTGTAAGATGAAGACTGGATGAATGCAGTAGATTAAAAAAAAACGGCGCACCTAGTTTTCTTAGCGATGTTTTTCAAACAAACTCTCTTTATATAAAATATACATATGATAATTATAAAATAAATAATATGTATAATATTATAAACATAAAAAAAATATAAAATTATGTATAAATATAAAAGAACAATAATAATATATAATAATATATAAAAGTGACGTACGCAATAATAATAAAATTATTAACGAGTAAAATTTTTCTTCATTACTTGGAAAAAAAATAATATGAAATCAGAGAGACAGAGCAAAATTAATGGAGGCGATGTTAAAAACCTCCGAGTTGATCATCGAGTTCGGAGTGAAATCACAAACGGGTTGAAATGAGTATTTCGACTGATGATACTGAAAGAAGTTGATGTTTATAAACGTGAAAATGGATAAATGGAATTGAACAACGTTCGCAACGTTTGCAAATATAATGAAAATTTCAAGTAATACATATATATATATATATATATATATATATATATATATATATATATATATACAGGGTGTTTCGTAACTTGTGGAACCACTTCGGGAGTTGATTGTACGTCTAAAAATAATGGAAAAAAGTCACATAAATATACGTCCTATCTGTCTTCGTTTATGAAATATAATGAATTTTCTGTTTTGATTACTTTTACAAAAGATGCTCGAAATGACCGCGTTGCATTTGAAGACAAGCCTGCACGCGTCTTGTCATTCATCT